ACCTATTTTTAATTTATAAAAAATGTGCATAAATTTCAATTATACAACGCAATTACCTAGTAAAACAATTTACCTAGTATAATGTACTTATTTTTAATTTATAAAAAAATGTGTATAAATTTCAATTATACAATGCACCTATTTTCTATAAATTATTGTGCACCTATTTTTAATTTATGAAAAATGTACGGAAATATCAATTACAAAGTAACTGACCTATTTTTTTAAATTTTTTTTGGTAAATAATATACCGATATACTTATATTTTTCATATGTACATTATTGGACATGTAATTTACATATATATTTTTTTGGTTTGCAATTTTAGGGGGCCATATGTTAGAAGGAATGGCAACCAAAAGAAATGGGGTGATTGATATGCTATTTATAGGGAGTTTTAATTACAATTATAGCAGTTAATGAAATGCTTGGAATTAATTATAAATAAAATATGAAGTATGATGACAAGGATGTAAAAACATAGGAATACTATGACCTCTTATATCTTACTGGTCATTTGAGTTTGAAATTGGGTTTTTCACATAGATTTATAGATTGATGGATATATGTCTAGGAAATAGAAATTGTAGGGACTTATATTGGACAAGCCCTATAAGAAATTCAAAATATATGGATAAGACTTTGGGTCTCGTGAGCTCTATGACCTAGTTAGTTTTAATGATTTTGGCTCAGGATATATAGCTATTAGCTAGCAAGTCCTCCATGTTGCTCCATTGTGAACAACTTCTTGAGCTATAGGGTGATTGATGTACTTGTGTAATGGCATCACAATTTCCTCCATGTTGTATGGGTCCTTGCTCTGAAAGTTATTTGAGCCCCTAAGCTTTCGCCCAGCTCTCTGTACCAGCAAAGTCAATACAAATAATGTCCCTAGGGAGAAATACTGCACTTCAACAGGAATTTACTAAAAAATACATAACCAAGTAAAAAGGTCAAATGGGTCCAAGCAGCACAGAAAATAGCATGCCCAAGTAAAAAGGTCTTCCCTCATCCATGGAACCAAATATTTCCATGGCCAAATATCCAGTGTGCTTACTCTTTTAGTCTTTGCCCGCATACGTCTTGTCATTTGTGTTGCAGAAGTTAAGTTAAGATGCACCAAAAACACGGTCAACCGGATTCCTAAGTATTGTCACTACTCATGATGTTCTCTCCCTGGGAAGTTTGGACATCAAACTATAATCATCATGAGTAACCAACAATCTGCACTGCTGTTTTCCGCAAAGGGTACAGAATTAACATCCATTAATGATGCAGACATGTGAAAAGTTAGGAAAGAATAAGGTAAATATGAGTGTTTCCCTCTTTGCGACACCCCCAAGCAATGAAGATGTAGTTCTGCAAGACATCCAACTTAGTTGCTGATGTCAACCTTGGTTTTATTTTAGGTAAAACTATATATGCGCCCTTGTATAGACGATAACCCACCAATAACACAACGTTTAAGTAAAATCCAATTTTAAAATTGGATGACAATGTGTCCATGTAAGTTTATTTATTTACAAATCATGCCACTAGATCTTTATTTGGTGGCTAACCCTTTTTCATCCCTTAATTTTATGCAAACTAGCCTCTCCACACGCGCTTCCGTGCATACGAGAGACTCTTTTTAAAAAATTTAAATTTATTTTAGAATTAAAAAAGATAATGGATAGTTGTGTTCCATAAAAATAGGATCCATTATCTGATTTTTCTTTTAATTTTAATATTTTTTAATATAAAAAAGTGTGAATTTAACATATTATCCTCATTTAATTAATAATTTCAATTCTTAATGTTTGCATTAATCAAAGGCATTTTCTGGTAATTTGAATGTTTCACCATTCTCTGCCTTTTGCTTTATATATATAGATGAATAATACCTCTCATTGCACATTTATGTTTGCACTCCTGTAATAATGGCCTACAATCAAATTAGTTCAAATACTCCCTTCTAACCTCCTATAGGTCAGATAAATGAATTTATTTTATACCTTCACCCTCCAATTATATATATTTACCTAATATCTTTCAATTATATATATGTATATATGTATATGTATATGTATAATATATATTCTAATAGGTACAGTAATGGATAATAATCAATTAAATTCCTATTATCTTTTATGAATAATAATTTACCTATGTTATGGATAATATACCTATTACTGTACCTATTAATTTCATCCATAAAATAATAGGTAGATTATTATTTTTTACTGTACCTATTATTTTTAATTTTTAAAATAATAATGTACTTATTCTGTGATTTATTTAAATAAAAAATTTATTTATGTTCTTTTTATTTTATGAATGGTAATATACCTATTACTTTTTCACTGTACCTATTATTATTTTTATGGATAATAATCTACCTATTATCTTTTATGGACAATAATTTATCTATTATTTTTTATGGACAGTAATTTACCTATTATCTTTTACTAGCCTCTCTGCATGCGCTTCCGCGCCTGCGAGAGGCTTTTTTTTAAAAAAATTAAATTTATTTTAGAATTAAAAAAGATCATGGGTAGTTGTGTTCCATAAAAATAGGATCTATTATATGATTTTTCTTTTGATTTTAATTTTTTTAATATGAAAAGTGTGAATTTACCATATTATCCTCATTTAATTAATAATTTCAATTCTTAATGTTTGCATTAATCAAAGGCATTTTCTGGTAATTTGAATGTTTCACCATTCTCTGCCTTTTGCTTTATATATATAGATGAATAATACCTCTCATTGCACATTTATGTTTGCACTCCTGTAATAATGGCCTACAATCAAATTAGTTCAAATACTCCCTTCTAACCTCCTATAGGTCAGATAAATGAATTTATTTTATACCTTCACCCTCCAATTATATATATTTACCTAATATCTTTCAATTATATATATGTATATATGTATATGTATATGTATAATATATATTCTAATAGGTACAGTAATGGATAATAATCAATTAAATTCCTATTATCTTTTATGAATAATAATTTACCTATGTTATGGATAATATACCTATTACTGTACCTATTAATTTCATCCATAAAATAATAGGTAGATTATTATTTTTTACTGTACCTATTATTTTTAATTTTTAAAATAATAATGTACTTATTCTGTGATTTATTTAAATAAAAAATTTATTTATGTTCTTTTTATTTTATGAATGGTAATATACCTATTACTTTTTCACCGTACCTATTATTATTTTTATGGATAATAATCTACCTATTATCTTTTATGAACAATAATTTATCTATTATTTTTTGTGGACAGTAATTTACCTATTATCTTTTAGGGAGCTTTAGTTTTAAACCACAATATAGTTTACTAATTTGGAAGATAGAAATACAATTTCATCTAATTAGCATAAGGCCAAAGAGCAAAATGTGGTACCTAATTTACAAAAATATCATTAAAAAATATCAAAATTACACACAATGCCACTCCTTCTAAGGCAAGCAT